TATATATACATATACATATTTGTACATACAATTACAGACGAACCTGCTCTAACGATCACCTGTTTAAGACAATCAAATGTAGAAACAACCGCTTCCCACTTTCCTCCAGTTTTTTTTCTCTAGATTACATCATAGTAAAAGTCCAAACCAACCACCCATCTAAGAAGACCACTTTTTTCTCGACAATGGATGAAATACTTGGATAGCTTCGATTGCTGTTACATTTCATGTTCACTGAAAGGAAAGCTTTGTATCAGAATGTCTTTGATTGCGTAGGTCATGCGCGTATGTCAAACTCTGCGAAGACTGTCCCCCTCCCCCCTTTTCTCTCTCTCTCTCTCTCTCTCTCTCTCTCTCTCTCTCTCTCTCTCTCTCTCTCTCTCTCTCTCTCTCTCTTTCTCTCTCTCTCTCACTCTCTCTTTCCCCACCACTTAGAAGTAGCAGTAGAATTCTTGTAATTTTTTCTGAGATAAAAAAACAATAACTTTGCAAGACAGTGTTCTTTAGTTTGCTTCGTTCTGTTTTAAACTAGTTGTCTGTCAGCTGAAAGAAAAGCATCCTATCAGCATGTCCCTAACTTTTAGGCCCATGGTATTATGAGTCTTACTGTGAAACGCACAAACATTTCAACAAAATAATTCCCGTAATTAAAAATATACAAATCAAAATTCCATTCTTTTATTTGATCAGCACGGAAACAGGTTACATGTTATATTTCAAAACATGTCTCTTCCTCTCACTCCGAGGCGAGCTATTTTTTGAGGATAATGATGATGATGATGATGATGATGATGATGATGATGATGATGATAATGATAATGATGATGATGATGATGATGATGATGATGATGATGATAATGATGATGATGATGCTGATGATGACGACGACGACGATGATGATGATGATGCTGATGATGATATGACAGTACCTATATATATAATATATTCATGCAATTTCTTACCCTAGCTTTCTCCTTTCTTTGGCCTTTCCGAAGGTTTCTCGCACGCACCATTGAGCATAGTGAGTGTGACGTAGGCCTATGTGTTTCCACAGTGTAGTTCTAATCTAGTCATTGATTAAAATGTCCCGAATGAAGCCATAAGACAGCTAAACCTTGATCATATAATTTTCTGAAAATCTTACAAGTCTCCACCTTTAAAAAAATATTTTTGCAGTCTCCAATGATGATGATGATGATGATGATGATGATGATGATGATGATGATGATGATGATGAAGATGATGATGATGATGATGATGATGGTGATGATGATGATGATGATGACGATGTTGATGATGATGATGATGGTGATGATGATGATGATGATGACGATGAACATGATCATGATCATGATCATGATGATAGCAACGACTAAAATGTTGCTACTGCAGCAAGACATGTCTTAATATAAAAGCAGATTGCATAAAAGCCTACTTTGTAAAACAGAGAATTACATAATGTATTAGGATGCTGACTGTAACACTTACGCGTTTTCCGCATTGAAATACTCTATGAAATCTTCTTGCACAGAACTGAAAGTTGATTTTTCTGCTTCTCCCTCCCAACTATCAGAATAACCCTGAGGACAGAATATCATTATTATTTAGTTTTGAAAATATCTCTGTCTGTCTGTCTGTCTGTCTGTCTGTCTGTCTGTCTGTCTGTCTGTCTGTCGAAATACCCTATGTCCTATAAGAAGAAGAAGAAGAAGAAGAAGAAGAAGAAGAAGAAGAAGAAGAAGAAGAAACCCAATAACAACAACAACAACAGCAGCAACAGCAACAACAACAGCAACATCACCAATATCAACAACAATAATAAAACAATAATGATGGTAATAATAATAATAACAACAACAACAACAACAACAAAAATATGATACAATGTCCGGCAGGGTCCGGCAGACCTCCCTCAAAATCCAAAAATGATCAAAATTGTGCCAATGGGGACATAATACATTACAATTATAAATATATTTTCCCTCTAGAATATTTGAATCTAAATTCTCTGGCACCGAAGTCAAACTGTACGTACATCTAGGTCCAAGTTTTCTAGGACATTGTCTGCATCAAGCCGTGGGTTTGAAAAGTTGAAGGTTACGTTCATGTCATCAAGGAAGTTACCAGTACGAAGCCTGTCATCAGAATCGTCCGCGTCATCGCTGAAATGAAAATGCATTTGAAGACTAGCCTACAGAGAGAAAACAGCACTTGTAAAACAAAAACACCCTGCCTTACAAAACAAAACAAAAATAAACGAACAAATCAGCAGCAACAAAATGCAAAAAAAAAAAAAAAAAAAGAAACAAACAAAATCAAACAAACAACAAATCGCGGAGCACTAAATCTACCTTTCTTTGATGTGTTCAAGCCGACAACTCTCGTTCTTTCCCTGTCCTGGTGTACATACATTAAATGAGTCACTGGTGTATGACTACAGCCCTTTTTGATGACAATGGTATTAATGGGCAAACATTTGAGGCAAGACAAACGATAGATAAAGACAGGCATTGATGGAAACGGACACCGGTGACTAGTGGCTTTTTCCTCTTGAGCTTTTCATGCGCAACTGAGGGTGAGTTTTTTCTTGTTTATTGCATGGTGCAATTTCGAGGGACAGAAGGAAAAATAAGTAGATCTATACCAACATCCAAAGAGAGAGAGAGAGAGAGAGAGAGAGAGAAAGATAGATAGATAGGTAGATAGATAGATAGATAGATAGACAGATAGATAGATAGATAGATAGATTGAGAGAGACCTAGCAGTTTGGTTAATACTTTATATGTACGGTACGTAATATTGTATTAGCCTTAGTGTACTGCCTTTGATATTGGGGCTACGAAGATTCCAATATAAGAGTAAATATGCATCACTCAATACTATCCGAACACAGTAGGAACTAAGATCCAGTAAGTCCCATTTTGTATGAAGCTGACTACAGGTAAACTCACAAGGTCAAACAAAGCTGTTCCCTCCATTCCGAATTCACCTACCTGACATGTTATGAACATATTATTATGGTGTCTCCACTCTTCGTGAGGTCATATTTATGTCGCTGTCATGTCTTGCACACACCTAATAAATTAATTGAATATTGGCTCTGGTCGAAATTTGTTTTATCTCGAGAAAGCAACTAAAATACATTTGTACTTACTGGAACTCTGGTTTCCATTCACCCGCAAGCCTCTTAATCGCATCAGGATCCGCTGCTTCAATGATCGATTGCAGCTCATCAGACGCCAAATGCCGCTGTTTGACAACAAGAAACGCAAATATAGACTTACTTTTGATTGATTAATAGCCATTATTGTTAATCCTTTAGACCCCCACCCCCTCGACACAATACGGACTGGTCATATATACATATACACACACACACATATA